TTTTATTAACCTAATTGAATCCTCTTTGATGTCATCTATCATTTTTAAAAGTAGAATTTTGAATTCTTTGTCTGGCACTTCAATATCTTTGCATTTGGTTATCAAAAAGTTATAAGCTTTTAGAGGAGTCTTATTGCTTTGATTTTTTCATATTTCTTGCATACTTTTGAGCTATGGTTTATACATCTGTTTAGATAGATACTTCTTCCATTTTTATATAGATGTCTTTTTAGTTTGCAGCAATTTCTTGAAGTCTTAATCTTCAATACACTCAAATGAGAGAATGCAAACTGCAGAAATACCAACAACAATTAAAAACAATCAAGATACTTAAATATAGTTGAAAATATAACAAAACTTCAATCACAATAAAGACAGAAAAGAAAGGAACTAGGATAGGTATAGGATACATGGAGAATTTAAAAATCAGTAAAAGTATTAATATTTAATAACAAAAAGAAGGCAGAATGTGGAAAGAAAAAAAGAAGCAAAATAGGAAAGAGAGGAAGAGTGTATGGGGTGGAGATATGAGAAATAATTTGAGAGAAAACACAATAAAACAAATACAGAGCATGACAAAACAATTTTTTAAAATGAGCCAATATTTCTGTCTCGCTGAAGTGATGGAGGATGAGATGCTTCACTATAGTTTTGCACTTTACTTCATATGGGGAGGAAAGGTATTGGGTCATTTTCACTCTGGAGTCCAAACAGGTTAGACCAGAAATGGATGTCTCTGGCTAAGCCCCACCCTGCTTTCCCCATTAAGGCCGCTGCTGGGCTGAATCCCTACAGTGTTCTCTGTATGCAGGTCCAGACATGCTGCAAGTGTAAGAGCCCCCTCAAGCCATTCCCACCGTCTGAGCCTGACCACTCCTCAGGGATTGGGTGCCCCTACACCAATGGCACTCTGCCAGTGCCTGTGTGGAAATGCCCAAGCACTGGCTGCATTTCCACCAAAAATCACTGGGGCCCTGAGAGTATAGCAAATAGTCAAACCAAAACAATCTGTGTTGGAGTGGCGTCACCCAGGCACTGCACGCCCTGGGAATACTGTACTATTCCAGACTCCAACTCAAATTCACAGACAACCGTGCTCACTCACATTCCCCAGAAGTTAATTCTTGGGGCATACCATGACTAATAAATGAGCACTGTGTTGAAGTACAACTAGAATTAAGATGTAGATCAGGAGACTTCTATTCTGGTCCTGATTTTGCCTTGATGGCTATAAGCCCTACAGACACCCAGAGACCAAGAAACCTAATTTTCTTTATCTGGAAGAGGATCAAGGAGAAATGGAATTGGTTGAGTCGCTGGGTCTCTTCTGTTTACTCAGAGCCAGAAAAGAGAAGGAATAACAATTTGATAATTAAGAAAACAAAAAAGGAGGATGCATAAATGTTCATGATTTCTAAGCATATAAGAAATTTTAGCTCCCTTATCTTCCCAGTTAAAAATAATCACTTGGAAGGATTCGATTGTGCACTAAGATTCCTCTAGGTATCCTTCCTGCCCAGAGATCCTTCCACGAAAGGAAAAAGAAATCTGGAAGTAGAAAATTCTGGAGAGACTTGCTGATTATTATTCCACTTGAGGTCAATATTGCAATGAGACCATTAACACTTAGGGCACCAATAGGAAATAGTATGGCATGCAATAAGAAAATAGCTGCAGATCAAAGACTGCTTTGTGATCCACTGAGTGGTCTTGGCTTCAATGCTTCTGGACATCTCTCCCTTCTTTTTCATCTCCATGGCAGCACAGTGCCCTTGAACTGTCTGTGGTGGTGGGAATGGTCTACATGTGTCCTGTTCAATAACCATGAGACATCTATGGCTATGGAGCACTGGCAAGGGGGCTGGTGAAATTTCTAAGTGGAAATTGTCTTGTCTAGCTAGTGGCCACTATATTGGACAGCACAACTCTTCAGTGAACAAAACAAAAGCAATGAAGCCTTTTTTGCTTTTGGTTGGAGATACATCTAAGGTGTTTTGTGTATACTCAAACCTCAAACTTTAGGAAAACTACTGTCAAACTCGAACGCCTCCAGAGGAGAAGGATTGAGAGCATTGAGAGGGTCTAGAAATTAGGCACAGAGAAAAATGAGAAAAGAATTTTTAAAAAGGAAAATAACTAGAAATGGGGTTACTGCTAAAGTAATAATTCAATTTAACTGCAAAAAAAATTCTAAAAAGCAGGCAAAGATTGCATAGATTGAAATTCCTAAGAGGACAATTCTAGTCAGAATGCAAACCACCTTTCCAACACAGACATATGATTTTGGGATGTGCTGTTTCCTAGGTGGGGGTATCCTATAGTATTGGTCTACTAAAACTGCCATAGCAAAATCCCACAGACTAGGGGACTTCCATGTCAGAAATTTATTTCCTCTCAGTTCTGGAGGTCAGGAGTCTGAGAATATGTGGCAGAAGAGTTGGCTTCTCATGAGACCTTTCTCTCTGCCTTGCGGATGGTGCCTTCTCATTGTGTTCTTACTCATTTTTCTTCTGTGAATCTGTGTCACAAACTCTTCTTATAAGGACACCAGTCATACCACATTAGGGCACTCCCTAATGACCTCAGTAACATTAACTATAAAAGCCAGATCTTATTCTGAGGAATATGGGGTTAAGGCTTCAATACAGGAATTTTCAGGGGTCTTGCATCAACCCATAACCACCCACAAAGAGAGGCAGACAAAATGATGCTTGACCTAAATAGCCAAATCAATCCCACATAAAAAGAGCAATGCTGGATGTATCACAATGGCTGACTTCAAATTATACTACCAAGCCATAGTTATAAAAACAGCATGGTACTGGCACAAAATCAGACATGTAGACCAATGGAATAGAATAGAAAGCCCAGAAATAAGCCCACATTGAAACAGCTATTTGATGTTTTACAAAGGATCCAAAACAATATGTTTGAGAAAAGATAGCCTATTCAACAAATGTTGATGGGGAAACTGGATTTCACCTGTAGAAGACTAAAAGTAGACCCCTATCACTCACCCTCTACAAAAATCAATACAGAAAGGATCAAAATTTTAATGTAATATCTGAATCTTTGAAGCTACTACCGGCAATCATAGGGAAATACCTAAAGATATAAGCAAAGGCAATTACTTTCTGAATAAGGGTTCCATTGCTTAGGAAATAAGAGTAAAAATTGACAAATAGGATTATATCAAAGTAAAAAGTTTCTGCAAATCAAATGAAACAGTTACCAAATAAAGAGACAACACACCACAGAATGAGATAAAATCTTTCCCAGTTATTAATCACAGGACAAATATCTAGAATACATAAAGAGCTCAAAAAATTAAACAACAAAATAACTAGCAACTCAGTTAATAAATGGGCAAATGAATTGAATAGACAGTTCTCAAAAGAAAAAATACAAGTAGCCAACAAATACATGAAGAGATGTTCAACGTTCTTATTCATAAAGGAAGTGCAAATAAAAACAAGAGTCCATCTCACCTGAGCCAGAATCAAGAAAAAAACAACAAATGTTGGCAAGGATATGGAGAAAAAAGAACCCTTATACACTTATGTTGGGAATGTAAATTAGTGTGGTCACTGTAGAAGTCAGTATGAAGGTTCCACTTTTTAAAAACTAAAACTGTACTGCCATCTGATCCTGGTATACCATTCCTGGGCATATAGCCAAAGGAATTTAAGTCAGCATACAATAGGAACTGTTTACTCCATGCTATTGCAGCACTATTGACAATAGCCAAACTATGGAATTAGCACAACAGAGTTTTATTCAGCAACAAGATTAAATTATGTCATTTTCAAGAAAACAGATGGTACTGGAGATCATTGTGTTGAGAAAGATAAACCAAGCTCAGAAGACAAATAGCACATGTTCTCACTCAAATATTGAATCTAGACCCCTCCTCCAAAAAATAGAACATGATTGTGAAAGGGGCCTGTTTAGGGAGATGAACCAGCAGGATGGGAGAGGGGGAGGAAAGGAGGAAAGGAGCAACGCGATCAAAGTACACTTTAAATATATGTATGTGCATATACGCACGTATCTCTGATGAACATAGCATAATGAAACCTACTAAAAACTTATAAGGGGAGAGGGAGAAGAGTTAAGAAAGAGTAAAAGACAGGAGAGAGACATTGAAGGTGATCTAGCCAATATATAATATAGGCCTATTTGCAATCCCACAATGAATCCTCCTTGTACAATGAATATATCCTAATAAAAATTAATGAATATAAATAAACAAAAATGAAAGAGTAATTGAGGGGCTGAATTTGATCAAAATATATTATATGCATGTATGGAAATATAACAATTAAACCCTTTTATACAATTAATCTACATTAATAACAATAGCAAAAAATGCCTGAAGCTCACTTACAGGAAGATCACAGGATATGCCTTGGTTCTCTGGTGCATACTGAAGATGTGTCTAGAGGTTCTCTTTTTTTGGGTGCTGGGAACAGAACTCAGGGCCTTGCACTTGCCAGGCAAGTGCTCTTCCACTGAGCTAAATCGAGTTTCTGTGATACTGGACAGGAGGCAGAATAAATGCCAACTGGAGGAAGTAGTGCAATTATCATAGAGTATTGGTGATTGCAGCCTGACAGTAAGGATTATAGGTCTGAACAGAAATTGTAGTGGGAAAATGGTGTGTGTGACTCAGGTCAGAGAAACCAGCATGGAGGCAGGAAAGTTCAGCCTGTGCTCACAGAAGGATGTGAGTTTGGGGGATGGTAGGATGGAGTAGAATCTTTTGAGGGGGAAAGTCTCAGCAGAAGCAAAACCCCACACAGCACCTGCAGCTCATCTTCGAGGAGTGAGCTCTTCTCAAGCCTGATTCCATTAACGACCCCGAAGATCACATGCAAATTCTTTGTAGGAGAAAATCCTCTCATGGGCTTTGCAAAGTTTTATGTCCTGCATTCACCAACTGTCCCCAATCTTTAGCATTACAGCCCTGATTCTGACATGTTCCTCTTCCTTCCATACAGGTGCTGGTCTCACAAGTCTGGGACACAGATCAGATCACTACCTCTGCGTCAAGAATGGAGGATTCTGTCTCTATTCCAGTTGTCCTCTGCACACCAAAGTTGAGGGCACCTGTTACCAGGGGAAGGGCAACTGCTGTAAATGAGTGAGAGTGACTGGGAGAATAAACACAGAAGCCAAGTGAAGGACTTGTACTCATTGTTTTAATAAAGGAAAGCTTATTTTAAGCATATGCTCTTCAGACCAAAATGTGTCTTCTGTCTCAATGTAGAAGAGGTTGAGAAAAATGTGCGACTAGGGTGGAGGACATGGAACAGGGATGGGGCAGTCCACAAGCCTCCCTATTCCAGAAAATGCTGGACAGGGCTTGAATGACATCACTTGCACTTCTTTCCACCAAGCCCACATGTGAGCAAGGCAGAGGTCCATGTGAGATTTGGATACACAACGAGAGCACTGGGCACGGCTGCAGGGCCTCCTGGGGCCTGGCAAGGGCCAATTCCAATACAGGGACCTCAGCAGTCTGCTCCAGGAGTTGGTCCCTAGGCAGAGCCAGTGACTGTTTCCTCTTCTTTTGGGTTCAAGGCAATGGGTTGTTAACCTTAGAATTAGAGCCTCTTTCATGACCATTAAAGCATCTCACTGAAGTTGTATCCTCTAGGGTTAAATGTCAGAGTTCCCGAATCAGCACTTTTCACTTAATCCCAGTTATACAACCTTGCTACACAGCACAAAGAATCTTTATCACTAACCCACATCGGCATTTCAGGACTTCATCACCAGGGGCCTTCAGAAACCTACAAATGAGGCAAAACACACTCCCTTTTTCCCCCATACACTTTCTGACTATGCACACGAGGCTGGTGTCTTCCTTGAACTGCAACTACAAGTCCTTCCACCTCTACCAGTCATGAAAACAATACATGGTTAAAGCATTCCGCCAGCCACAGTGGTAGACTTTCATGTAACGCCCTCTTCTGCAGGGGAAGGCTGACAGAGGAAGGTGCTGGTCCTAGGAAAACTTTACCTGGACCTGGTCATTCCCAGTATCCCAGGCACAAGGGTCTGAATTACATGTCTCTCAGCTCTTCCATCACCTGAAAAGCTAAGAAACAATCCAGGACTGTTCTGCTCTGAGAAGGAGTCTCAGTTGGCAGGAGCAGGGAATGTGGACTTTGGGGCACTTCTTGCTGTAACTGCCTTGTGTCTTCAAGGCCTGCTCAGGCCAACCACAGACGAACTCCTTCCACTGATAGTGGGCCGTTCTGTGCACACCCAGCTTTATAACCTGGCAGGTCACATGACAGCCAGCTCATCATGGGCAGCTCAGGCACAGGGTCACTTGCTGGCCATGATCAACAGAGAAAGAGCAGTGCAACTTTTCAGAGGTATTCTTGGTCCTTCCACAAGGAGGCCTGGCCTCCCCTTTATTGAAGGGATTCTATGTTTCTAAACTAGCTCAAATTTGGGAATACATAAAGGGTGAGGGGAGTGTGAAGAGAGGAGTGCGGTGTTACAGTACCAAACCGGTTCTCACTTTCCAGTAACCTTGGAATCCTTCCCCATGTATTAATCCAAGGAGATCAGATATTCCCGGGTTGCTCACAGTGGGCCACATTTCGCTCTGCGTTTCATCAAACCAACTTAACACACAGTTACAGCCTTTTCTCACTCCTGAGTTACAACATTAAGTGCAGAATGCTCTGGTAATTAGGCCTTTATCAATAAATACGATTCAACTTTGTATTTTTCTCATTATCCTATATCCTTAATATCCATTCCCACACATAATTCCCAGACTTCAAAGACTAAAGTATCTCTTTTGGAAGATAGTGCACCTTCTCACGGGTCACTCTGTGTGTCTCACATTTAGGGGTCTTTTTGGGATATTTCTAGATCTCTAGAAGCAAAGAGGAAGTGTGCAGGGCCCTAGGGAGACTTGGACATGTCCGGCCTGGCACTGCCTTAGGAGACATGGTCACCATTTCCTCAGGAATTGGAGAGCTCTTTTCATCAAATGGGATGGAGAGGTGACGTCTATTGCCACAACACTCACCAGATGTGGCAGCTCAATCTCTCCAGCTTCATCAGGATCTTCCTCTACACCCATGTCTACTCTCAGAATCCTATTTCTTCCCAAATAATGCTCCATTTTAATAGTACATACCCTGTGCATCTGAAGATGCAATTTATGTTTTTATATTATTATTAGCATATTATACTGGACAGGGGTATACTGTGACATTTGCATACATGCTTACAATACATCTCATACAATTTGTATTTCAATTCAACATTCTGGTTTTGATATTCAGAAATCTCAGTTGTTCATCTTATATCAGAAACAAAATCAATTCAGAGTGGACTAAATACCTAAATATTAAACCTGAAACCAAAAGTACAAGAAGGAAGCGCTGCAACAGGGTCTAGCAACAATTCTTAGATACAACACCAAAACATAGACCGCAGACAATAACAGAAAAAATACAATTATTGGTATTCTTTCCAATTAAAAAGCTACTGTATGATAAAGGAACAACAAAACATTTCAAATACTTAGCAAAATGCTAATATCTGCATTGTATTGGGAACTAAAGCAACCAGGTAGCAAAAAAGCAAAGAACCCAATTTAAAGGGACAAAGGACATAAGAGATGCTCGCAAAAGAAGACCAAGAATGGATAAGAGGCTCATGATAAGACGCTTAAATGACATCCCACTCATCATTAAGGAGATGCTAATTAAAGCCCCAAAGCGATATAACCTCTACTTGTTAGAACGGCTATTAGCAAAAAATGACAGATAAGTGTTAGTGAGGGTGTGGAGAAAAGGGAACCTTTGTGTGCTGTTGGTGGGAATGTAAATTAGTGCAACTTTTGTGGGAACCTATTCATTATGTGGAGGCTGCTTTAAAAACTACTGGGCAATCCCATACAGTAGTAACACCCAGGATGAGTGTATGTCCAAAAGAATTGTAAACAGTGAGCTAAAGACGTCAACAATCAAATGTTCATTATATCATCATTCACAATAGCAAAAATACAGAGTCAGTCTGTGTGTGCCTCGTGAAGAATGAATAAAGTGCTGTATATGTACCCAGTGGAATACCATTCAGGCATCAAAAAGAAAGATGCTGTCACTTGCAAGGATATGGATGAACCCAGAGGACATTAAGTGTGTGAAATAAGCGGGCGCAGAAACACTAATACCCCATATTCTCATTCATATACAGAATACAGACACTCAAATTCATATGAACAGAGTAAAAAGGTGGTTCACAGAGCCTGGGCGGCTGAGTAGGGAGTCACTCGAGGAAGAATAAGTGGTTTTGGTGAGGATAAACAAATTTTGAGACTATTGCATAACATGGTGACTAGAGTCAAAAACCATTGGAATTTCAAAATAGCTGAAATAGTAAAACTCAAAGTTCTACCACAAAATGACAAGTAAGAGAGGTAATGGATATGTTAACAGCTTGACTGACTCATTCCACATTGCATGCTTCTATCTGACAAAGATGGATGGAACCGGAAGTCATCACGCTGAGCGAGATAAGCCAAACTCAGAAAGACAAATAGTGTTTGTTTTCATTCCTATGTAGAATCTAGACCCAACAACAAGACATGAATGTTAAAGGGGAACTGTTTGAGGGAAGCAGAGGGAGAAGGGAGTGGGAAAGGAGAGGCCACAAAGGGGTAAACATGTATGAAAATAGAATAAAGAGGAGTCTTTGCTCCCGTTGCCTGTGTGGGGAACAGGAAATGTTTCTCTCTTTTTTGTCCTGTTATACTAAAATAAATTCTTGCTAAACTTTTAAAAAAAAAAAGGAAACTAGAATAATGAAAACCAAAAACTGTTAAAAAAAAGTGGGGGTAAGGGGGAAATAGGGTTATGAAAGAGTAACAGAGGGGTTGAATTTGATCAAAATATATTATATGTATGTATGGAAATACCACAAGGAAGCCCCTCTGTACAATTAATATACACTAATAAGGAAAATAATATATGACAATGTGAATGCACTTATTGCCACTGAACTATACACTTAAAAATGGTTAAAACTGTAAAGTTTTAGTTATGTATGTTTTACCACAAATAAGAAAGGAATTTATCATTAAAAATTACATTTGGCCGGCACCAGTGGCTCACTCCTGTAACCCTAGCTACTTGGGAGGGTAAGATTCAGAAGATAGGTGTTTGAGGCCAGCCTGGCAAATAGTTTGTGAGATTCCCATCTCCAAAATAAGCAGAGCAAAATGGACTGGAAGTGTGGCCCAAGGGGCACAGCGGCTGCTTTGCAAGTCCAAAGCCCTGAGTTTAAACACCAGTCCCACCAAAAATGAATACATTTGTCCCACAAGTCTATACAATTATGACTTGTCCATTGAATATTCTATCAATGATTTTTAAAAAGCAATCTCATCCCTGGGCTATTGGAGACCCACCCCCATTATGGAGAGTAATCTGCCTTGCCCAATGTCCACCAATTTAAATATATTATATTGCATTTTTACTACATGCTCTGATATGTTGACACTGTAGAAAGAAAAAAAGAAAGGAAAACAATTGCATGTTTTACTACATACTCTGGTATGTTGACATGTAGAAAGAAAAAAAGAAAAAAATCTGACTACAGACAGAGGGGCTTTCGCAGCAAGAGCCGGGTTTTAAAGGCTGCAAAGGGCCCCTCCCAGAAGAAGCTTATAGCATGCAAACTGAATCATCCTCCTTTCTCAGGCCACACACTCCTGGGGACAATATTCCCCTGCCTCAGTCATCCCAGGGCCAGGCTGCAGACCAAAGTCTGCTGAGGCTTTAGACTAACATCCTACACTACTCTATCGCCCAGCCTTTCCCAGAAACCCCTGAAAATTCTCTGGCCTCCTCTCCCCCAACCCTGTTCAGTCTTCTTCCTTCCGACAACCAACGTGTTCCCCTGAGTGTGCCACAACTCCATCTCTGGACTTGTGAAGGTAATGATCTTGCTTTCCTGACCCTCTGCTGTGTCCTCTTCTCACCACATTTGACTGACCATGACATAAAAGAAGATGCATCAAATATTAATCTCATCCAAAACATACCTTCCAGAAACATCTAGAATAATGTTTCACCAAATATCTAGGCACCTCCTCCTAACAAATAAAATTAAACACCAGAGCATCTTTAATGCCAT